AATTGTTAGTTGATATGTTGCAAAGGAAATATTTGCTGAAGCTTTTCGCCAGACACTAATCATAGCAGAACATAAAAACATTTTCAGTTTGTTTCCGAATGGAGATTAAAGATTCGAATTGTAATGATGAACAGGTAGACATTCCAACAGCGTTCTCCTATTGTGGAGCTTTATTTCAAAAATAAATGTTCCACCATTGCTGCTCAAAAGCATACCACTGAGAACTTGATGTTAAAGTTGTTCCTTCTGAACATGTCATCAATGAAAATTGTGGTTTGGTCAAGATGGAGCCACCTGTCATACAACATAAGCAACAATAGTAGTGATGCGTGAACTGTTCCAAAACAGGTTAATTTCTCGTAATATAAACTGGCCTCCCCGATCCTTTAATTCCTTGATTTGTCAGCAGCAGACTTCTTTTTGTGGGGTTACTTAAAGGTAAGAGTATATATCAACAAACCACGGACACTACAGGATTAGAAAGACAACATAAAGACAAAAATTAATGGCCTTACACGTGAAACTTTGACCTCTGCAAGCTATAGAAAGCGTGTAGATTAATAATCTATGACTCATTAGATGGTAATGTTAGTGTTATATGCTGACAAACTTACCCCTGAGCCCCCGAAGCCCTTCTGGGTTGGTATTTCCACGCTGATTTTTCCAAGCCCGTTCCCTTGGCTGTGGTTTCGCTAGATAGTAGATAGGGACAGTGGGAATCTCGTTAATCCATTCAGAAAATTCGTGGTGGGCACCAACCGGACATTATATGTTTCATACTTATTGGTTACAAGAAATCTAATTGAGCTACAGTTTCAAATATGTTAGTGATGTGCTGTTTTCTAAATGTCGTATTAATTTTTCTACATTTATTTTTTACTTTATCCATGGATTGAATTCACCAATAGTTACTACGAATATTAGAAGACATTTTTGTAATTCATAATTCTTCTCTGCGTCTATTGTTTGTTTTAAGCGCAAAGCTGCACAATGTGCTATTCCACTATGCCTACTGCAAGGATGTAACCCGTAATGTTAGTGTTATATGCTGACAAACTTACTCCTGAGCCCCCAAAGCCCTTCTGGGTTGGTATCAATGGATATAAGTCTATGAATGTAATATAAAATAACCTTAAAAATAAAAGAACTAACTATAACGTTGTTTAAATTAAAGAACGTATTAAATAATTTAAAAATAGTATTAGATATCTTACCATGTGGCTTATGTAGCCAATTGTTAAGCAGAAAAGCTTAAAATAAGGAGCTTGAACGGTATATAGTAAATTGGTGTACGTTTGTAACACCTCTAATTAACGTTTGTCAAGAAAGCTTTTGGAAATGTTTCGAGTTAGTTTTTGAAAGCTTTGGGTCTTTTAACTTAGTCAATTCATAGTTTATTAATCTTGAAATCACAATTTATGTATATTACCTGAAGAACTGGAGAATGCAAATAGTTGCCAGAGTGTGCTTTAAAGCATAAGAATCCAATATGCTTAATACTTCTGATACAAATCACTAAGACTGCTTCCTGTATTTGATTTTCCTCATCGTACAGCCCAAATAATGATCTCTAGTATCAAACGAAAATCCTATTGGGTAGTGACTTGTTGGGAGATTAAGACTAAATACGAAATGTTATTTATACAAATATGCGTTTTGAAGTCTGTAAAAGATAACTTAAATTGGAATGTAAAAAAATAATCTGCAGTTTAATGTATTTTCATCAGAGATATTAGAAATATTTCTTAGGTAAAGTGAATCCTATTATCCGTTTTTAGTTTAAATATAACTTCATGAACTGGAGATCTTGTAGCTTGTTGAAAGTATAGCAACTTCTAGTATTATCAAAGTAATATCAAACAATGGACAAATATATATGTTCTTTTGCGATAAAACAGCATAAAGTTAGGTGCGCTGACACGACACTAAGTGAGAACACTTGAACGAGCCATCGTGAATCACATTCTAAAATCTTACTTGCCTACACTGCGCAAAACAATTAAAGAATAATTGGAACTTATAATATGTTACCACTTAAGACAAAGACTCCACTGATATAAAATAATGTTAATCGCCTTTCCTCCTTCAGTTCTTTTATTTATGTAAATCAGGCATCTAATGGTCTGTCGTGTGATTTGAAATACAGCTTGGTTCTTCGGATAGAGGGGATTTTATACCTTTTACATTTAATTATATTTAATGAGGTATGATCGCCATCACCACAATCAGCAAGTCTTGAGATATCCCAAACACCACTCCTTTAAAAGAGCTAATGTTTGGAAGAACTAGACGGTTTGCATCGCTTCTTTCAAGGGCGTACCATACATGTTCGATGGATAAAAGTCTGATGAGCATTCAGGCAACTGCAGTTGGTCAATTCCCTCTTCTTCAAAGGAATATATCAACCAGTTTAGTATGATGATGGTGGAAACTGTTTTCTTTTAGCCCGAAGTGAAGGCCAATTGCACCAGTATCTGACTACATAAAGGGTTGTAAGTAGCATGTGATCCCCATAATGTGCAGCACTATGAGTACCATTTCACAAGATATATGGGTTGGTACTCCACCAGTACTTTTCCTTCTCAAAACATAACTCCACTACCACCACTTATATCTCTGTATACAAATGGAATTGAAACTGGTCACAGGTTCTTTACAAATGAACACTCGGTTAATATCTTGCTGCAAGTTAAATCACGACACATATGAAAATAATATTATTGCTACACATGTCGTTTTTCCTCAGTTCAGGGCTATCAGTCTTACAATTTAATTTTTCTGACATAAAAACAAACATTGACCTTTCTTTTACTTCCACTGTATTTTCTATTGACATCATTAAAAGTGTTAAAATGTGACTTTTTTTACTGACTGTCCGTAAAGTTACGGACGGTTGGCAACCCTGCCTCTTGCATTATTGCAGACGTACTGTTTTTAAGTCATTGGCATTATTACAGGTGAGCTGTTTTACGCCTTGCTATGAGTGAAATGCGCTCTTTGGGAACCTGATGTTCAGGCCGACCTTGTGAAATGTGTTTTAACAGTCTACATACTAAAATGCCTTTAGTTACAGATGCGAATATTTTATTCAGTTGCGAAGTATGTATCTTACGTTTACGGAGAGTCAAAAACAGCTTGTGTTGTGGCTGATGGTTTACTTTGTCTACATATTCTAACAATTGTAGCATTAGTCTAAAAACGATTCCACATTCTGCCAATGACACGTTAGACACTACCAGTTCACAACAGCATCTACGATTGGCCAGCTTACATTCGTCCAGTGGCTTTTCAAATGAATGGAACATCCAAATATTTTCTTTGGGAACTAGCCATACATGAAGAATAATTTAGAACCCTTTTATGATTAACTTCAATTTGTATTTGTATTTTGCTGTTTCGAGCTCAGTTTTTTTATTACCACAGCATATAAATAATTTTATTCTTCAGATTCATCATTATTTCTTCTCTAATGTTCAGTAACGTTGGATTTCTGAAAGAATCTCTGTCTGGATCAGAAAAGTAGTAAACTACCAATAAATATAAGAGTTCTAATCCTCAGGAGACTTTTTCTTATAGTTTAGAGAGGAATCTGCCAGACTTATCTCGCCTTGTTTGTTTTTCGTTAAATTTTTCACATAATTTTTTTCGAAAAACTGGAAAAACAAATTACGTATATTGTTCAATGACAACAAAATAAGCTTGTCGTTGGTCTATTATATAAAACAAAAAGCAACCAATATCAACTTATTTCCACTAATATAATGTTAGATTTCAGCAAAGTATAGAAATAAGACAACTTTTTATGCAGATTCTTCCAAGGCAGTAACTAAATTACTCATTTTGATCCCTATTAAAATCTAGTCCTGACATTATTAAGAGAGTCAAATTAACATAATTTGCACGCTTTCTCAAACCGTTTCAGAACAATATGGTACAACCTTCCAGGCCTTATTCTGTTGGTACTTATCACAGGGCTAGCAGGCCTAATCGTCTACACTAAATACCATGACTGTGACCCCATCACTTTGAAATTGGTCAATGCTCCAGACCAGGTAGGCCCTGTTTTTGTGTACGTAATTTCTTCTCTTAGTCATAACTTTTAAAAAAATGTGTCATGAGTTTTTATGTTTTCGCACAAGTTTTTATTTAAATTTCAAATTTGAAGCATGTGTAGTTCAGGCGAGATCAGGAAAGATTCATATACACAATGTTTGTATTCAACTTTTCTTGATTCTTCTATAAACTGATAAACTAGTATTAATTCTGAATGAAATTTCCCCGTCACACCAAACATGCTCGCCCTTTCAGCCGTGGGGGCGTT